TATTAATCCTATTATGTCCTGTCTTAGAGTTTGGGTGGGGTATGTAAATTTTAGGTGACTTTGTCTTCTTGATCTTCTAGTTGGGGCCTCCATCTGCATTTCTACAGAGCTGGTTTCTGCTTGGGAGAGGGAGACCTGGGGCTATTAAGAAAAACTGGGCATGCTTTTCTGCCTCTTTAAGATCCTTTGAGGAAATATATTTTTCTGCCCTTTTAATATTTCCTTCTCTGGGGGGCTGACTTCCCACAATGCTAAAGTGTAATTCAGTAATGTTTATAGAAAATTCAGTCCCATTAGGTTAGTAAGTTTGGAAACTAATAAGTAATAGCAGTATCAAAACATTTTATAGAACATTTTTATTATATTCAATTCATGAGCAACCCAATTTTTAAAGAAATGAGAAAAATATAATTATAGTAATTTAGTAAGAAATTATATTTAAACAATAATAATTTCAATAAAATTATGCAATCTTCCAAAGTGACAATATGGCTTTGTATTTAAAAGTAATATGTAAAGCACAAATTATATATTTAAAAGGAGATCAAAGTAAACCCTCCTAACAGAATTGTAAATTGTATTATTTTTCATATACTCACACCATATTCATTTTTTCCATTTTTTTTTCAATTTCAATTGATGCTATGCTTATACCAGAGACAAAAAACTACCGTTTTAAATTTTTTGATATTATTATCTACTAAAGACGTATTTTTAGTTTCTGATATCTAATAACTGAAACAAAGTTTAATTGCTGTTCTCTATTCCTAAAGTTTTTTTAAAAATACCTTAAAATAATCCAGTCCAGTGGGATTTACTTCTGAATAGGGATTTCTGTGCATGTGTGTGTATGTGTGTTTGTGTGTTTGTTTGTCTATAAAATTGTTTTTATTAATGAAATATCTCAGTGAGTTCAGTAAGCTTCTACAACTAACAGTGGGTTTATTTCATATATTAAAAATAAATTTAAATTTAAAATACATTTCCAAGGAAAATAATGTTATTTCTGTAGCTTCCTGTCTTCTATAATAAAGAGATACTCAAGATTATTTACCTTGACTATTACCTGAATTAAACTGAATCACAGTACATGGTTGATATAAAATGATCTTTAGATGACTAAATATCTATACAAATCTCTATTTTTGAATACTACATGATCAGTGGATATTCAAATATTGGTCTCATTTCATTTTACAGTTTAGCAATTTGAGGTATGGATTTTTTTTTCTAAACTGCTCCTTAATAAATAAAAGTTGATCCTTTATAAAATAACATGGGGTCCCATGTAATTCTTTTTATGGAAGTCTTGAAAATCTATAACCACTATGTTATAATGCTATGTTTGCCAATGACCACTAGGAGTGCTATATCAGGGCTTTTCAACCTTTACACAGATTGTACCACTTTTAGCACATAACAATATTTGAGTACCACCAGTGCTTAACAAGTGTCAAAACCTTGATAACTAAAACAGGAGGGGGGGTTGGGATTTACTGATTAGATTCATTTGTTGTTATAGAAATGGCTAGTTTATATTATTATGGAAAATTAAAAAGTTGAGGTTCAATGTTAATGCTTCCTTCTACTGCAACAGAGGAAGTCGGAAGTCAATGCCTTTTCTTCTCTTTCTCCCTTCTCCCCTTCACTTTTCCCCCTTTTTCCTCCCCACTGTGTCCTATTATTTGCTTTTGTATTTTTGTATTTTATTCTATAATCTAATAAAATGTTACAAACCATTAAAAAAAGGAAAAAGTACCAGTTTTAATTTCTTCGGTGGCGAGATGATCCTGGAGCTTCTGCCCAGCCCCCATAGCCCTGCAGAAGCGTGGATCAGCTATAGCTGTGCATGCCTTCTATGCAGCACTGCCACCACTTCAGCTCCTTCCTCTCCCCTGCTACACTTGTCTAGGACGGTCGCATACCACCTGCCAGGTGCCAAATTAAAACCTGCACTAAATAAATAAATAAAAACCATAGGAGTCACTGTGCAATCAGTGTTACTTGTATTGGGATTCATCAGGCATAGATAGCCTCCAGAGGAATTCCACTGCAAGGACAAAGCTGGTCATATAGCGCCTTTCAGTGGAGTACCTTTCCCTTTAGAGATCTTAAGTATCTTTAAGCATTTTAAATATCTTTCACACCAGACTATTTAGATATGCTCCTCAAATGCAATTGACTGCTCATATGGTCTGTGATGGCACCTCACGTATACTGTAAGACATATTTTGTGTACCTCAATGTGATAGCAAAATTCCATGTTATTGAAAAGTATGTAGAAAGGATTAAATGCTATTTGAACAATAGATCCAGAAATCTATCTGCAATGTTGTTTAAAATTTGTTCCATAGTATATATTCAATTTCCTGGAAGAAATTCTTGGAAAATTATGCCCATGTAAGAAATTAACCCACTTGAATATTATAGCTTAGAACTCTGCAGAATTCTATATCTGTCAATCATGTTGTATCTAACATACATTTGTTTAGCCACAACTTGCCAATACCATACAAATAGTTCATATTCACACAATGGCAACAATTATCACTTCAGTGGCCCTAGAAGCTATTCTGGATGCAATTTAAACATCAAAGGACAAGTAGAGCCTAATCTGAATGACTGTATCTCGTATTCCAACTCTGAACAACCAACTTCCTTTTCTTCTTGTCTCCAAATGTGCTTTTAAAAAACTTGCTTAATGAAGAAACGTGAAGAATTTGAAAATGAGCATTTTGTACCAACAAAGGTATCAAAATTAGGCTTTGTAAACTAAGGAATTTGAAAACTATGGAACAAAATCTTTGAAATATGAAGATTTACATTCTCCAATTCCCTATATTCTCTGTCAATTTCAAAATCACTTGATAGATAACTGAACATAAAACTAGTACAAGAACTAACTAGAAATACAACTAACCCTTTTTTTAAAAAAAAAAAATTTAGATACTGTTCTTTAATTACTAAGACATGGTATTCAGCAACCTGCATGGTAGTTTGTTCTGGTGCTTGAAAAGAATTCTGGCAGCTCAACTTTATCTATATGTACAAGCAAATATACTTTGTTAAGATTAAAAGGCTTTAATTCAAAGTCAGTACTTTGAATACAATAAGACATTTGCAAATTAATTTTTTAAAAAATAGTTTTATTGACTAACAAAGTCATTTTCAAAGAAAGTAACATTCCGATGTCTGTATCTGAAGCTAGCTGATAAAACTCAAAGACCAGATAATTTAAATGAACTCTGCGCTGCAAACAAAATACTGTTCCAGCTTTTGGATGAAAGTAATGACTGGAGACCAAAAAATATTACAAATATTTCAACTGTTCTCTTTGTTGCTTGAAAAAAGGAAGTAAAATGAGGTATAAGGAGACACATATAAGTGCACCCACCAATTATCAAATTGATTAAAAAGAGGGACAACATGATTGAAAAGGAAACACATCACCTTTAATAACAATCTTCAGATCCATAGCTACACAAGGAAGGAAGGATTTCATAACTCTTGCTTTTGTTAAGAAAGGGAATAGCCTCACTGTTGAATTCAGAAAGATAATCCAACAAAAGAAGTAAATCACAGTCTATACTATACAATACCTTACTACACTGTAACTTAATATACTCTGCTGCACCATATACCATACCATACCATACTATTACTTAGTCAACACATGAAAATGAGCAACATATATAGCAATCTCAACAATATTTATACAAGAAATTAAGTTGTAAGCATTATAATTTATAAAGGCTTATATTTCTCACACATACACTCCTAAAAAAATTCTTGGATTCTTCAACCTCTCATTTAAGTCATCTAAGAAAGTAATTGGAATCCAAACAAAATTAAAATCTCAGGATATATGAAGCTTGGAAGTTATCACTCTTGCTCATTATGAAATGAGTTATTGAAGAAATTATTTTTTCTCACAGTCTATTTGCATATATACTAAGTAGGAAAAGAAAAATGAAGACTCAAATAATAAGAAACAGGTAGGGTCAGGGTTTCAAAAAATGATTTGACACATGTTGTTGATCTATCATCAAGCACAAATGAGCTAATTAATACAAATTATTTTTTTTAAAAAAAAATACTTCCAGGCATTAATGCAACTCAGAATAAAATTGCAGAGGGTTCATCTTCTGAAACAATTTAACCCCACTTTAACAGAGTAAAATATTCAAAAGCAAATTCTTTGCATTTTTATCAAATAGGTTTCAATTTCCATATACGCCAAACCAAAATGAAATCACTTGAATATGGGGTAGCGGTAGGGAAGCAGATGTCACAACTGACTCCTTCTGAAGAAGTGGATCTCTTTTAGGACCAAACATGCCCTGTAGACTAGAGAAATCCACCCATGCACTAACAAATTCAGAACAATGGCTAATACAAGAATGCCAGTGCATAATGCCTAGCAAGAAGGCTTGTCACCCACAGACATATTTCAGCACAATGGTAATAAATGTACAGTGTATTAACTGATCATTGTTGCAAACAAAACACTAAAGTCTTGTGTTTCTATAAATTCTTTGTCCTTCCCTGCCCAGCCCAGCCCTGCCAACGATGTTGAAAGCTAGACGGCTCTTTCAAAGTATTTTCCAATTTAAGGATAGCGATTGCTCAGAAAGTAGATCTACTGGGATTACAGAGACAGCTACAGCTTTGTCCACCTTCCCTCAGTCCCTATGCAGCGTTCTACACACCCTATTCCAGACTATAGAATGCAGAATAACTACGCCAATTTAAGCATTCCCCAGGGATGGCTTAACCGCAGCATTTTAAAACATCTACCATTAACAAGATCAGCCCCAGCTATCTTTTCACCACTTGGAGGTTTTGTTTTTTAAAAAACCTATGAAAAAAGAGAGTGGCTGGATATTTCAAAAACATAATTATCCACTTTAACTTATGCCTCTGAATAGGGAGAGGGATTGCTCCCGAGCCTAGTGTATCGATGGAGGAAGTCGCCGCTTTCGACCTTTTTTCTTACATACCTGCAGATCCACTTCTTTAAGGCACTACCTAACGAACCTCCTCCACGTCCCGGCTGGAGACTCCAGCTTTATCGGACTTGCATCGTTTACAAATTCCCAATCCGTCTTCAGCATCCAGTGGCATGGGGGGAGGGGCGGGAGGAGCGAGGGGATGTCAAGGTGAAAGGTAACTGGAGGAGGAGGTTTTAGATTGCGGGAGGGCTGCTTGTTATTAAATGATTATTAAAGTATTGAGCCGTTGTTTCTCAGTTATCTGAGGAGAGCAGATTTCTATTGCTCGGAAATAATTCAGGAAGCAAAGTAGAGAAGGTAGTTCGGGAACAGGAACGAATTCACCCAATTTCCCAACCGCAGCCATACAAAGCGCAGAAAAGAGCAGGCAGGAGAGGGAAAGAACCGCAGCCTGGGTTGCTTCCCGCCCTCTCAGAGAGCAGCGACGCTCCGATCCTCCGAGGGAAGGCAAGAAACTCCGCGGGAGTCGGTGCGCGTGGATCTACGCGCGCAGAGAGGCATCCCCCTTGGCCGAGTTTTCAACACAGGGAGATCCTTTGGGCTCCTCTCCCTCCGACTCGCTGAGTGCTTTTACCCGGCAGAAGGAAGTCTTCCTTCAGCCGAGGCCGGTTGCCCGCACTTCTCCAGAGGGTTGGCACTCTGGCCTCCCTCTTCCAAGACACCTACGTTAGACAGGATCTCCTCTCTTCCCCGGGAGCGGGGATGATCAGTCGGGATGGAGCTGAAACGAGGGGGGGAAATGTAAAACGAGTCCCCGTCGGAAGATCGCGGATCCGTTAGGATGCTTTGTTAGGCTCTGGACGCATCGCCAACAGATCCTATGGCTAAACGAGGTGCCAAATCCCAAACGGCTTCGCCGAGTCGGCTCTCGGCTTCAGAAAGCAGCGAGGGCGGGTAGCAGTTTTCACGCTTGGTTTCTGCGCGGCGTTTCCGAGAGCGTTTCTATTCTCCGAAATCCTCACACGGGCAGCTTCCCCCCTGGTGTCGGAGGGCTAGATAAGAAAATCCAGCGCTCGCGTCTCCCAAAGGCAGGAACGGTTCCAGTCGAAGGGCGCTCCTGAGGCAGACGCGCCCTTCTCCTTTGGGCGCAGAGAAAGTGAAGAAGGAATGAGGCAGCCGTCGGGTCGTAATCCCGGGAAGGAGTCGGCAGGTCGAGAAAGTCGTGGATCCAATGCTTCCCTCTGAGGAACCGTACGCTCCTTGGAGGCTTGACCCGTCTTCTTGGAGGGCGAATGGCGACCCTTCAGGAGTCTCTCTGAGCCCTCAGACGGGCTGCCGCCGAGTGATTAAGTAAGGAAAGAGTGACCGTCAAGCTCAGGCGAACTCTTTCGTTGTAGCCCTTCTTGCTTTCTCGACTGAGGCGAGAGTGCCTGCTGGCGGCCGTGGCTCAGAAGCCGGCGGCGTGAAACGTTTTGCAAAAGACAGCCTCTGTCTCCCTCCAGTGTTGAGGACGATGCCGAAGTGCAATTGAGGAACGCTCGGGTGGCGCCAAGAAGAGCAGGACTGCAGATTTATTTCTGGTTCAGTTGCACTATTCATTTATTTAGCCATCTTTTTTTTTTTTTTTACAGTCATGATGCTCTTGAGGAATCTTTGAGTATTCTTTTTCCCCTTTGGAGGATAAAGGAACACAAGCAGCAGATCCAGTTCAAACTAGAGAGAAGGATTTGAGGTAGCAATACACTTAGCAATAGCACTTAGACTTCACAATGCTTTACAGCCCTCTCTAAGCGGTTTACAGAGTCAGCATATTGCCCCCAACAATCTAGATCCTCATTTTACTGACCTCGGAAGGGTGGAAGGCTGAGTCAACCTTGAGCCAGTCAGGATCGAAGGAACTGAACTCCTAGCAATGTGTGAGCAGAGTTAGCCTGCTGTACTGCATTCTAACCACTGCATCACCAAGGCTCTAGAAGATAGAAGGTAGTATGTAAGGTGGAAGTGCCCAATGTGTGTATGCCAAGTAAACCTTTAGTGAAGAGACTTATAAATGGGGACCATAACTAAGAAAGTCTTGTCCTTTGTCACTTAAGTTTATTTCCATCAAAACCTATAGAAAAACTTGCAGGGGTAATTGGGAGCTCAAATAGGCATTTATAAAGGAAGGTATACTTAATATCAGTGGTGGGATTCAAATACCTGAACAACTGGTTCTCTGTGTGGACACCACATCTGGAAGTCCACACACTTCCAGTGGGACATTCTGGGCCTGGGAGGCCTCCCCAGCTCAGAACAGACTTCTGGAAATGGCGTCCATGCACTTCCGGCAGTCTGTTCTGGGCCTTGCGAAAAGGGGCTAGGGCAGGGGTGGGGAACCTTGGCTCTTTTATGACTTGTGGACTTCAACTCCCAGAATTCCTGAGTTCAAGGACAGATGTCCTGGGAAATCATCAGGCATCATTTCTGATCTTTAAAAAAATACATTTCATTTGCATAATTCTAATGATATAATTCATGCAGCCTTAAGAAGTAATATTATACAGCTTCATATTGCAAATAGAAAACTTAAATGTGATACTGTTTATTGACTCCAACCAATAGGTTAATGGTTTAGTTGACATCTGAACCCAGGGCTTTCCTACTCATAGTTCAATTTTGTCACTCCTATATTAAAGCACATCTTATTTCAAAATAATTAGATTGAGCAGAAGAAATGGCATAATGGATACAAAGTTAATGAAAGCAATAGAAGCCAACAATTCCCAAAATGAAAGTGAATTCAATTTGTCTGCAGATCTGATCTTAAAATGTGAAATGTTTTCTACTGTCTTCCTATATTCCTGAAAAGAACAATTTAAAAATGTATTTCATTTCATTTTTCCTTATTCTTTCATTTTCTAAAAAAGGGAAATTTCTTTATTGAATCTGTTAAATAATATAAACAACTGATATAGCAGATTTTTATTATACGCACATGTGAGTACTACTTTAAATTTCACCTCAGTCAAAAGTGAGAATAACATAAGAAAAAGTGCTAGTCTGCAACTGCAATTAGTTTGAATTAAAATAAAATACATCCCAAAGGTTTCTATACTTTTGAAACAGTTTTGATGCTTTATTTTTCAAAGAACAGATAACCACGGTAGCCAAAATTGTCACCTTACTGATTTCCATAAGAAAAATGGAAATATGATGCTAAAACAAATGGAATGAAAAGTATATGAGATACTCTCTGTAACTTTAAAAAATAGAGCTGTTATTTCAAAAAAAAACATGACATTTCACTGGAAAATATTTCCCACACTAAAACAAAACCTCAGTTATTTTCTCAAAGAAATTATTATTTCATTTATTCACACAATAATAACAATGATAATGATGATGACGATAACAATAACAATAACAACAACAATAATAGTTGGAAGGGACCTTGGAGGTCATCTAGTCCAATCCCTGCTTAGGCAGGAAACCCTATACCATTTCAGACAAATGGCTATCCAGTCTCTTCTTAAAAACTTCCAATGTTGGGGCATTCACCACTTCTGGAGGCAGGTTGTTCCACTGGTTAATTGTTCTAACTGTCAGGAAGTTTCTTCTTAGTTCTAGGTTGCTTCTCTCCTTGATTAGTTTCCATCTGTTGCTTCTTGTCCTGCCTTCAGGTGCTTTGGAGAATAGCTTGACTCCCTCTTCTTTGTGGCAGCTCCTGAGATATTGGAACTCTGCTATCATGTCACCCCTAGTCCTTCTCTTCATTAAACTAGACATACCCAATTCCTGAACCGTTCCTTATATGTTTTAGCCTCCAGTCCCCTAATCATCTTTGTTGCTCTTCTCTGCACTCTTTCTAGAGTCTCAACATCTTTTTTACATCGTAGTGACCAAAACTGGATGCAGTATTCCAAGTGTGGCCTTACCAAGGCATTGTAAAGTGGTATTAATACTTCACGTGATCTTGATTCTGTCTCTCTGTTAATGCACTCTAGCACTGTGTTGGCTTTTTTTGGCAGCTGTAGCACACTGCTGACTCGTATTTAAGTGATTGTCCACTAGGATTCCGAGATCCCTCTCACAGTTACTACTAATGAGCAAGGTACCATCTATACTATACCTGTGCATTTTTTTTTCTTGCCTAAATGTAGAACCTTACTTTTTCACTATTGAATTTCATTTTGTTAGATAGTGCCCAATGTTGAAGTTTGTCCAGATCGTCCTGTAACTTAAGCCTATCTTCTAGAGTGTTGGTTATTCCTGCTAGTTTGGTGTTGTTTGCAAATTTGATGAGTTTCCCATCTATCCCCTCATCCAAATCGTTGATGAAGATGTTGAAGAGCACTGGGCCTAGAACAAAGTTCTGGGGGATCCCCCTACACACTTCCCTCCATGTAAATGCAGTTCCATTGAGGACCACACGCTGAGTACGGCTGGTCAGCCAGCTATGAATCCATCTGGTGATGATGCTGCCTAACCCTCATTTTTCTATCTTATCAAGTAGTAGGTTGTGATCTACATTATCAAATGCTTTACTGAAGTCCAAGTAAATTATATCCACAGCATTCCTCTGTTCCACTAATTTTGTCACTTGGTCAAAGAATGCAATAAGATTTTTAGTAATGACTTTGTTTGCCTCTAGGCTGATTCGTTGTTTGATTATCTTTTCCAGAATCTTCCCATGTATTGAGGTCAGGCTAATAGGTCTGTAGTTTCCTGGATATATTTTTTTCCCTTTTTTGAAGATGGGAACTACATCAGCTCTTTTCCAGTCCTCTGAGTTCCCCAGTGCTCCAGGATCTTTGAAAGATATAGTTCATGGTTCTGAGATCACATCTGCCAGTTCCTTGAGAACCTTTGGGTGTAATCCATCTGGTCCTGGTGATTTGAACTCATCTAGACTGGACAGGTGCTCACTTACAATTTTCTTGCCTATCTTATCTTTCTAATCTGTTTTTTACAGTACTGTTTTTGATAGATTGGATTGTTTTTTCCCTTTGGGTAAAGACAGAAGCAAAAAATGAGTTAAATAGTTCTGCTTTCTCCCTGTTGCTTGTCACCTTCTTGCCACTTTCTCCCACTAGTGGATCAATCATTTCCTAAACCTTTTTCTTGTTTTTTACATGTTGAAATAAGCTTTTTTTTGTTATTTTTGACTTTTGTTGCAAGCCTTTGTTCATTTTCAGCCTTAACTTTCCTCACTTCATCTTTGCAGGCTCGGGCTATTTGCTGATATTCTGACTTAGTTATGTGCCCCTCTTTCCACTTGTTGTCCTTTTTGTCATTCAGTTTATCAGAGAGTTCTTTATGCAGTCATGCTGGTTTCTTTTGAGAGCTGTTATTTTTCTTCTTCGTTGGTATTGTGCTAGACTGGGCTTTTATTATCTCACTTTTCAAAATTTCCCAAGCTACTTGAGTTGTTTTCCCCTTGAGGATTCTCATCCATGGAATCCTTCCCAAGTTCTCTCTAAGTTTATTGAAATTAGCTCTCTTAAAGTCCAAGGCTCTCATTTGACTGTGTTCTATTACACTGTTTTCAAGTTTCAAGTTCTGATTTTGCTGCTTAATTAATACTTTTCTAAAGAGTCAATACCAATGTTATGGTCATCATGCAGACACTTTGTGATGGTTTCTATTGATAACAACTGAATTTACTGCATACATTTCCTTGATCACATGAAGTTTCTACAAACTAGATGCATCAAAAATGATAATTTAAAGTTGCTATTTAGATTGCTGGGTGTATAATAAGAACCTATTCTATTTAAAATATTTAATAATGTGTAATATAAAACCTCAGCCTTTATAACTGACATTTTCTTCAACTTCTCTTAGATGAGGGATTAGTATATTCTGTCCTTTCAAAAGAATTCTTCACAAAACAGATGCTGTACCCAGAGTTACCCCTTTATGGATTACTGCCTTGTCGTGGCAAAGGGGCTTGTGTAACTCAATGAAGCTATAAGCTATGCCGTGTAGGGCCACCCAAGACGGACAGGTCATAGCAGAGAGTTCTGACAAAATGTGATCCACTGGAGAAGGAAATGGCAAACCACTCCAGTATCTTTGCCATGAAAACCCCATGGACAGTACTAAGCATACTAAAAAGCAGAGACATCACCCTGCCAACAAAAGTGCGTATAGTCCAGGCCATGGCTTTCCCAGTTGCATGTATGGCTGTGAAATTTGGACCATAAGAAAGGCTGAGCGCCAAAGAATTGAGGCCTTTGAACTATGGTGCTGGAGAAGACTCCTGCGAGTCCCTTGGACTGCAAGGCGTTCAAACCGGTCAGTCCTAGACGAGATCAACCCCGACTGCTCTTTAGAAGGCCAGATCCTGAAGTTGAAACTCAAATACTTTGGCCACCTAATGAGAAGGAAGGACTCACTGGAGAAGGGCCTAATGCTGGGAAAGATTGAGGGCAATAGAAGAAGGGGACGACAGAGAATGAGATGGTTGGATGGAGTCACTGAAGCAGTAGGTGTGAACTTAAATGGACTACAGAAGATGGTAGAGGACAGGAAGACCTGGAGGAACATTGTCCATGGGGTCGCGATGGGTCGGACACGACTTCGCAATTAACAACAACAACAAAAAAACCCAGAGTTATTTTTGGTTTATGCTAACATTAATAATATTTGGGATTGGACTGAATTGGGCATTTTAACTGTCATTCCATCTAACCAACAAGCAGGGGGATTAATTAGGGACAAGGAAAATCTCTGAGGGAGCTAGTTACCTTCTATTTTAAATCATCTCAATATACAGTATAAGGAGGAAGGGATTCATGAGTGATAAGCAAGAAGATAGTACTCCTTTGAAATATGTAGATCAGCCCCATCAATAAAGATGGGGGATATAAAGGTGGTTGAATGCTAGGCAAAGCAGGCAAAGAAGTTGGTGATTTAATCCAGATAGTTCTGTAGTTGGCAATGATGTTTATCCAAATTAAAACACAATCTATATACAGGACCACTCAAAATATATTGTAAAAAGTGGAAAACAGGACAGGAACAGCATAAAATGAGGCAAACCAAAGAGGTTTGCTAGTACATAAAGATACAGTAGTTGCTTATTTAGATCTGGGAAGCATTGCATTCAATGATATTTTGGTCTGGCAATCTGTTGCAAAAATAGATAGTTTTAGTTTTTTGCATTCATATATGTGTACTCTTAGATTGACTGAATGATCAGTTCAGTTATTTATAGAAAATTGAAATATTGGAGCAGAAATTGGAAAATAGGAAGGAATTAAAGATCATATAGATCTTTCTGCACAGA